TATTTTGTAAATATTTACATTACCAGTATTTCTCTTAGTTATGTATCTGATTAAATTGAGAGACACTGAAGGGGAAAATAGTATTTATGGACAGAAGCTCACTCATCTGGTTAATGTATTAGGTGTGGAATGAGGTCTCTAAGGAATGTTTTCAAAGAAAGGGAATTATATTGCATGCTCGCATAAGTATGTTGTACCAAATCATAGTTTGTAAAAGACAGTTTTACTCAATTTTGAATCTGTAACATATTATTTTACAACTAGTCATAATATTGACTATTTAAAAATTAGAGATTAAAAAATCTTTAAAGATTAATATATATAAAGCTCTTAAAATAATAAAAGAGGAAAAAGGAAAACAAAACAAACAAAATCTGTCTTTTTCAACACTGGTTTATAGACTGACCAGGCAAGTTTTTCTCTTTCTCTAGTCTTTTCCATTTCCTCCCTGACTGCATGCACTGTATGTCACTTGTTTTTACACTCCTCCTCTCTCTTTCTTCATTCTAGGGTTCATGGTATCGAATTTAGACTATTGACGAGGAAGGCAATTTATGTGATTGTTTAGTTGCTAAGTCATGTCCAACTCTTGCGACCCCATGGGCTATAGCCCTCCAGGCTCCTCTTTCCCTAGGATTTTCCAGGCAAGGATACTGGAGTGGGTTGCATTTCCTTCTCCAGGGGATCTTCCTGACCAGGGATCAAACCTGGGTCTCCTGCACTGCAGACAGATTCTTTACCAAGCGAGCTACCAGGGAATCCCTGTGATTAAAACCACAAGCTCTGAAGTCAGAATTCCTATGTTCAATTTCTGGCCTTAGCTCCATAATTTTAGGCAAAGTACCTCACTTTTCTAAGTCTCTGTTTTCCTCTCCATAAAAATGAGGGTAATGACAGTCCATCTGAACACAGTCCATCTGAACACGTACAAGTAGAAGTACATTTATACTTCTCATCAAAGTTTTCTAGAGATAAATGATTTAAGGAAGTAAAGGGCTTAGCATAGTAAGTGCTCAATTTTAAAAAGCCACTAATATTTACATATTTATATTATTACTTCTGCTGGGAGACAATAAATAGGTTGGTATTCTTCCACAATTCAGTTATGAAATATGTACTTACAGAGGAAAAGACACATAAAAAATTATTTATCTTAGATTATGATGAGCTAATACCAAGTCTATGTATGAAAACTGAAAATGAATCCAGATATTTTCAAACATCTTAGAGACTAAGTACTAACACTACAATTTTTCTTTGGCATGTTTTATTTGGCATGTTCTGTGTGTGTGTGTGTGTGTGTGTGTGTGTGTGTGTGTATAGGAAGTCAATGCATTCTTATTCAGTAATCCCTTCTTGAGCACCTCTGTGAGCTGTATGTGCATCATGGAACTTAACATATATTATTTCTAATCCTTATTAACCCTCAAGAGAAATCAAATTTATTAGTTTTATTTTACATTTTGGAAAACTAGAGCTTAAGGAGGTAATGCAATTCATCTAACTAAGTTCAGAGGGTTAGTAAGCACTGGGACCACAGGTTTGAAACCTACGCCTTCTTTCCTGAGATCTGGTGTTCTCTTCCACTAGGACACATACTTTGTGAATCTAGGCCTAATGGCCTGAGAAGACTAGTTGATAAGTTCATTCATAGAGATTCAGCATTGTAAATGTTAACAATGTTATGTCCAAATTTACTCTTTTTACTGACAAAGTATTTCATTTTAACAAGTATTTTCAGGGGTTAGAATTTTTACTCAGATTCATAATAATGCACAATTATACAAATTAGAAAAATGCATAATTGTATACATAAAGATCTTTTATACACTAATAAATGTTTATTCTTCATAATCACCAATGAATAGAATCACATTGGTGAAGCTGGTGATTGCAAGGGATATGTTTGGGCACAACTGACTCTGGCAGATAACCTTTGTTTAGTTTAGTCCTATTAAAAATAGAGAAAAATGTCAATGTATGGCAAAAACCACTACAATACTGTAAAGTAATTAGCCTCCAACTAATAAAAATAATTGAGGGGGGAAAATAAATAATTGTTCAAACCAGAAAAAAAACATAGAGAAAAAGTAGTCCTTTAGAAAAGCCCTGTGGCAAGGAAAGTAACACCATATTTAACATGGTTCATGAGGGAAAAATATTTCCTGCTGTTCAGACAATTGTAAAAGGTCAACCAAACACAATCATAGCAGTTGATTCCAAATGTTGACCTCAGAATGTACGCTCTGCAGGAATGCTAATGGCTCCTAGCATAGTGCTTTTGCTTATTTGGATTCCGCTAAAAGCTCCACTTGACAAGCACAGTGATGAACTGCACCTTTCCCATCAAGCAACACATGTTTGGATGATAGACAGCTCTGTTAAGGTGGAGATTTGTTTATCTTCCAAGAACCAATTTTTCATCTTACTCTGCAAACCCATGAAGCTGCTTAAAACTCATATAACTTATTGCTGATAAATGGAACATCAGCTTCAAGACTGACCTCGGGGATGGGGATACAGGATATAATGACACATCTGTTTTATCAACATAAAACCTCTTTGGTCTTCAAAAGGAGGAATTTTCTGTTCATATTCTAGTACATCTGACTCCACTGAATGAACGATTTTATGCTTCAAAATATGTTTTATTATCTTTTTTGTTATCTATTTTTAATCTATTTTATTATCTTTAAAAAATTAAATTTAAATGAATGAAATATGAATAACTCTATCCTTAACTTATATGTTCACTGTTGAGTATTGTTTTATCCTTGACTTATTAACAACTCTCTCATGATTCTCCATTATAATAATTTCACACAAGACAACAAAATAAATATATCTGGCAGTCAATAAACAGATATTTTTCAAAACTGGGTAACTATTCTTTTTCTCATTGCTCTGGCTGCATCCTTAAAGCCTTGGGCATATTGAATTCATTTAATTTTTGCAATAAATTGTTGTGTGCTTTCAAAAAAGAAAGAACAAGATTGATTTTTTCAGAAAAGGGGAAGGCCTTCTTATAATTTATGACAATAAGAGAATAGACTCTCCCAGAACACAACTAACTTAAACACTTCAAATTTCATTAGCATCATTGTTCTGGCACTTAAAGATATGCTTCTGCCTCCAGGAGTATCATGTAACATGTAAATGTACATGGAGATATAAACTTTAACGCTATATCAGTCAGCAAATTAATTATCATTTAAGACCTTAGCAAGAATTAGCGGGCAACTATTAGAGATAAACTGAAATACATTTCATGCCAAATCAGAAGTGAGCCTGGCTATGAAAACATTCTTTAAGAAGTGTTGCTTACCTGGTTCTGAGCTCTTTGGACTCAGAATCTTGAGTATAATAGTCAAACAGGGATCCCTTTGGTGGAAAATAGATAGAAGATGATCTTAAAGTATTCTTAACTTTGAGATTGTGTGATCATGATACACGATTCATTAAAAACCATTAAATTCACATTGTAAAATGAAATCTAAACATTTTAGTATCATTTAGGGTCCCAGCAGAAAATAAGTGGCATATTCAAAGGAGTAATTAAAGATAATATAGCACAGGCTCATGGAAACCAACAAATGAAAATGAAGCACCCAGAAGTCAAGAACAGGAAGCTGTTATTACCCTTAGGTCTGAAGATGCAAGGAGGTGGTGTGTGTTATTGGAACACAACAGGAGTTAAGGCATGGTAGAGCGACTGGCAGACAGGAGCTCTGACTGTCTACGTCGAGGAGCAGCGCCAGTGCCAAGCCGTGGCCCAGCAGGTCCAGCAGGGAGGGCGTTTCCCTGCCCTCTCATTTCCCTTGCTCTTTATCTCTCGTTGGAGCTTCCTGTTGACCAAAGCCAGCCAGGGGTCAGCATGCAAGGGAACTTGGCCACTGCAGGCTCTGGAGGCCAGAAAGCAGAGCCAGAGAGGGTAGAGAATGGGCGGAGGAAGAATGACGAGCACAGCATTTTGCCACAATCCTAATTACACAGAATGCTAACCTTCAGGAATACCAGGAATACCTCACTAGGGACCGCTGGGAGCTCTCTGCTGCTATTCTATTCCTCTGAGTTTCTCTTCCTCAGCATCTGAAAGTTCTCTTCTAGGTTTTTAGTCAGTTCTTGTTCCACTGAATCTGTGCTAGAATATGATGCAGTCCTGAAGCAGGGCTGTTTTTATTTTTTGCAAAATAATCCTTTTTTTTTTTTTTTTTCCTTTTTCGCTGCTACTGCTGCTAAGTCACTTCAGTCGTGTCTGACTCTGTGCGACCCCATAGACGGCAGCCCACCAGGCTCCTCCATCCCTGGGATTCTCCAGGCAAGGACACTGGAGTGGGCTGCCATTGCCTTCTCCCCTTTTTCGCTAAAGTTTACTTATTATCAAGTCTTGAATAACTGATTTCAATGAAGGATTTTTCCCTTTGACATAATTCTTAACATCCTGCTGCCTAATTTTCCGCATTTTACTGGAAGGGCTTTCATCAGTTTATTGAGCTATAGAGCTCTCTCCTTAGACTCATTGTCCTGCCCTCCATCTCCTTCTGATAGTTGGTATTCGACCCACACTGTCAATGAGAAGGCTCTTAAAATTTACTTTAATGAGAGGAGACATGTTCTGATTAGATCAAGCATCACAGTATGAAATAATTATTTTTAATGTGTAACTAAGTTAAACATTTGTCTTCGCCATTCTTCACTGTTCTTTATTTCATTATTCTCGTTCCTTCACCATAGATTTACTTTTTTTTTTTTTTTTTTGGTCTATTTACCTAGAAATCTATGAATTGAAAGTTTGACAGTATGGTATGTAATAAATTGTAACAGGGGTTAGAAGTGTTTAAGATCGTCTTATAGGTTAACAGGTGAATTAAAACTCAGGGCTGATTTAAGTTTGCAGATCTATTTACTACCAAGTAAAAATTTCTCCAAGACAGTGGCGTGTTTTTTTTCTTTACAAGTCATATAATTCTAATGATTGCCTCCTTTTTCACTCCACTCAGATCAGAAGCCAGAGCAAAGCCTCCGGGTCTGGGCTCTGTGAGGGGGATGAAGTGGTTTCCATCAATGGCAACCCGTGTGCAGACCTCACCTACCCAGAAGTCATCAAGCTCATGGAGAGCATAACAGACTCTCTCCAAATGCTCGTCAAAAGGTAAAAAGATTTGTTGGAATACTTATTTTCTCTTGAAGCTACATGGCAACGATTACAGCTCCTACTATCATGTAAACTGTTCTCTATGGGGAAATGAGGGTTCTCTGTATGTCAGTATAAACAGAAAAACCATAGTGTTTGGAAAATGATAATTCTAATCAGCTGAATTTTCTTGTTAATTGAGAATTAACTTGAAAAGTTTGTTTCAAGAACTTTGTTGAAAATCTTAGGTATTTTAGACTACTTCCTTAGGAAGCTCAGTATATTGAGCATAATATAATACTTCTAGGTCAAGATTAACTATGATCACTAAATTATAATTCCTAGATTTATAGATTAATTTAAAATGTTTACATGTTAAAATGTTACACTGTGTAATATTTATTTGAATAGAAAGTGGATGCCTAAGAGGAGGAAAAGAACCAAGAAACCCTTAAAAGCAGCCTGATTTGTATTTCAAAAAAACAACAATATTTATATATGGGCAAAAGCTAATGGTTAAAGTTTTTGGACTCTCAATGCAAATGACAATCAAATGCTTGTCAATTTGATCTCTCCAAATGCTATGCTCCTAACCTAATTGCTTAAACATGCAGAAGTCAACCTTAAACATAAAAACAAAACAATCAGGGTCATCACAAAGAAACTACAGCATCAACATTTTCACCATGTACAAATCACAGTTTAGTCCATATTAACCTTGTAAGTGAGGCCCTGACCATGCTAATACAATGAATCCACAAAGGAAATCTAAGGCTTCCTTCACACAGAATTTCAAAAACTTCTAGGAGTTTTGCCTTAACTGTGCAGAAAGACTACATAATAGCACTGTTGGTGGTGGTTGCTAAGTCATGTCTGACTCTTGTGACCTTAGAGTCAGGCTCCTCTTTCCATGGGATTTTCCAGGCAAGAATCCGGAAGTGGGTTGCCATTTCCTTTTCCAGGGGATCTTCCTGACCCAGGGATAAAACTCATGTCTCCTACATTGCAGGCGGATTCTTTACCTCTGAGGGGCTTAATTCACCTGCAATGCAGGAGACCTGGGTTCTATCCCTGGGTAAGAAAGATCCCCTGGAGAAGGGAATGTCAACCTACTCTAGGATTCTTACCTGGGAAATCCCAAGGACAGAGGAGCCTGGCGGGCTACAGTCCATAGGGTCGCAAAGAGTTGACATACAGACTAGCACTTTAACTTACTTTCACGTTCTTTACCACTGAGTCATCTAGGAAGCCACATACAGCATTACCCCTCTGGTAATCATTCAGTATGATTCCATTTCTATACAAACACGAACTTACTGTGGCCAAAATTTTGGGAAGATAAAGAAATCTTGCAATTCTCACAATCTCTCATCTAAACATTTACCCTCAAGTCTAGTGTGTAAGCCACTGAGATCCTACTTATTCGTAAAGCTGCCATTTGCTTTTTCAAGAGATCTCATGGAAACCTTGCCAAGTGTAGTCAAAGTGTTGGCCATTATTGCATTTAAATCTCTGAGGTATTTGTTCTGTCTTTGTAAAGGTTTAATCACATCCAAAATAGGAGAAAAACCTTTCCTAATTTATTCCCCTTTAGTGTCTTTGCTGATTTAATGAGGTCAGTCTTTTCAGAACACATTTGTAGAGTGGAACATCCCCTACTAGTTCTTGTTTTGATTACTGTCATTGGGAAAGTCCTTGGTGGTTTAAAGCTGAGTCTTAGGTACATATTTACTTTTAAAAGTAAATGGACTAGTTCTCTGCTACTTTTAATAATTGGAATCTTGATTATTATTAAGTCTTTTTATTTTTACAAAGTAAATAAATAATTGCAGAGATTTTAAATGAAATCTCAAATTAAAATCATCCCCAAAGTAATTATCATCATCATCACCAGCACCCCTACAAATCTGGATATCTGAACATTGTTTCCTGGAATTAAATATTTCTCTTGCTCATGTAACTGTCATCTGTCCCTAGAGGACAAGTGGTTTACTTTTCCTGGGCTATTACGCAGAGGTAGCTGGGTCAGACTATCTTAAAATCTTCAACATTGTCTCTATTATTGTAAATTTTATTTAAATGTTTTATACACACACACACATATAATTATGACACATAAAAGTTGGAATTAAGTACCTATGTGCACTGAATGGAAATGAGCATTTTAAGGTATAAAGCTTTATTTAACCTCTAGGTCTTTTATGATTTTTATTCATGTATATCTCCGTTTTATCTTGGCTACCAATAAATGTTAATATTTATCTGACCCATTTGCCTGTATTACAGTCTGTAAGTCTGGAATGAATTCAAACTACTCTCTTCTCAGCTTCATAATTTATTGCTGATATAATTCAAAGTAATTTAATCTACTTTCATCTCAAGGCCTTCCTAAATTATTATTATTTTTTTATTTTTTTCCATTCATTTTTATTCATTGGAGGCTAATTACTTTACAATATTGTAGTGGTTCTTGCCATACATTGACATGAATCAGCCATGGATTTACATGTGTTAACCATCCCGATCCCCCCTCCCACCTCCCTTTCCATCCCATCCCTCTGGGTCTTCCCAGTGCACCAGCCCTGAGTACCCATCTCATGCATCCAACCTGGGCGGTGATCTATTTCACCCTTGATAGTATACTTGTTTCAATGCTGTTCTCTCTGAACATCCCACCCTTGCCTTCTCCCACAGAGTCTAAAAGTCTGTTCTGTACATCTGTGTCTCTTTTTCTGTTTTGCATATAGGGTTATCGTTACCATCTTTCTAAATTCCATATATATGTGTTAGTATACTGTAATGGTCTTTATCTTTCTGGCTTACTTCACTCTGTATAATGGGCTCCAGTTTCATCCATCTCATTAGAACTGATTCAAATGAATTCTTTTTAATGGCTGAGTAATATTCCATGGTGTATATGTACCACAGCTTCCTCATCCATTCGTCTGCTGATGGGCATCTAGGTTGCTTCCATGTCCTGGCTATTATAAACAGTGCTGCGATGAACATTGGGGTGCACGTGTCTCTTTCAGATCTGGTTTCCTTGGTGTGTATGCCCAGAAGTGGGATTGCTGGGTCATATGGCAGTTCTATTTCCAGCTTTTTAAGAAATCTCCACACTGTTTTCCATAGTGGCTGTACTAGTTTGCATTCCCACCAACAGTGTAAGAGGGTTCCCTTTTCTCCACACCCTCTCCAGCATTTATTGCTTGTAGACTTTTGGATAGCAGCCATCCTGACTGGCGTGTAATGGTACCTCATTGTGGTTTTGATTTGCATTTCTCTGATAATGAGTGATGTTGAGCATCTTTTCATGTGTTTGTTAGCCATCTGTATGTCTTCCTTGGAGAAATGTCTGTTTAGTTCTTTGGCCCATTTTTTGATTGGGTCATTTATTTTTCTGGAGTTGAGCTGGAGGAGTTGCTTGTATATTTTTGAGATTAATCCTTTGTCTGTTGCTTCGTTTGCTATTATTTTCTCCCAATCTGAGGGCTGTCTTTTCACCTTGCTTATAGTTTCCTTTGTTGTGCAAAAGCTTTTAAGTTTCATTAGGTCCCATTTGTTTATTTTTGCTTTTATTTCTAAAATTCTGGGATGTGGGTCATAGAGGATCCTGCTGTGATTTATGTCGGAGAGTGTTTTGCCTATGTTCTCCTCTAGGAGTTTTATAGTTTCTGGTCTTACATTTAGATCTTTAATCCATTTTGAGTTTATTTTTGTGTATGGTGTTAGAAAGTGTTCTAGTTTCATTCTTTTACAAGTGGTTGACCAGTTTTCCCAGCACCACTTATTAAAGAGGTTGTCTTTTTTCTATTGTATATCCTTGCCTCCTTTGTCAAAGATAAGGTGTCTGTAGGTATGTAGATTTATCTCTGGGCTTTCCATTTTGTTCCATTGATTTATATTTCTGTCTTTGTGCCAGTACCATACTGTCTTGATGACTGTGGCTTTGTAGCATAGCCTGAAGTCAGGCAGGTTGATTCCTCCAGTTCCATTCTTCTTTCTCAAGATTGCTTTGGCTGTTCGAGATTTTTTTGTATTTCCATACAAATTGTTAAATTATTTGTTCTAGTTCTGTGAAGAATACCGTTGGTAGCTTGATAGGGATTGCATTGAATCTATAGGTTGCTTTGGGTAGTATAGCTATTTTGACAATATTGATTCTTCCAATCCATGAACACGGTATATTTCTCCATCTATTTGTGTCCTCTTTGATTTTTTTCATCAGTGTTTTATAGTTTTCTATGTATAGGTCTTTTGTTTCTTTAGGTAGATATACTCCTAAGTATTTTATTCTTTTTGTTGCAATGGTGAATGGTATTGTTTCCTTAATTTCTCTTTCTGTTTTCTCATTGTTAGTGTATAGGAATTCAAGGGATTTCTGTGTGTTAATTTTATATCCTGCAATTGTACTATATTCATTGATTAGCTCTAGTAATTTTCTGGTAGAGTCTTTAGGGTTTTCTGTGTAGAGGATCATGTCATCTACAAACAGTGAGAGTTTCACTTCTTCTTGTCCTATCTGGATTCCTTTTATTTCTTTTTCTTCTCTGACTGCTGTAGGCCTTCCTAAATTAAAACTGTGCCCTTTTGAAACTCTCAAATTTCAGTTGCATAGAGTGTATTTGTCACTTCCTATATGAGAAATATTTAATTTGCTTTCATCATGTTTTAAAAAGACTATAATTTTTTTTTTTTTTTTGGTGCTATTACCAGGAAGCTCTACAGATTATTTGCACAGAGAAAGCTCCATTTCATTTGATTGTTAGCTTGTGCTTTGTTTATTTTTGTTTTGCCAAATTCAGTGAAAAGCAAAGTCAAGAGTAATTATTTTGAATATTGGTCTTAAATTTTACTACCACATAAATTCTAAGGTGAATTCCTTTGAATAGAATAGAAGTGTGGGCTCACTCCCTTCAATAGATGATCCTGCATTAGTTAGGGTACTTTTGAGGGAAAAAGAATGGGGCTGAGATAGATGCTACTGCTTCTTTAAAAAATTTACAAAAATGAAAGCATCTCCTACAGCTGTTCTGTGAATGATGCTTCTCTTCTAAAAGCAGTTAAAGTTAGAGTTTCATGCAAGAAGTCATTTAACCCTTAACTGACTTTGCTTCTTGCAAACACAAATTTGCAAAACCAGCTGGGAACGGTTAAGGTCAAAATAAAAAGACTGTGGTGAGCAGCTGTGGGCTCCCTACCTGAGCGATTAAGGAACAGTTTGACTTCAGAGATCCTATAAGGAAAATGCTCCAAGTGACAAGTTCAGATAGAGAAGGGGAGACATTTCAGATTATAAATACTCCATGACTCAATGATTCATTGCACCCTGGAAAAGATTTCTCTTTGCACAAGAGTACTGGGCTGGGGTCCACTTATTACAAAACACATGCCCATTGGAGCTTAAAAAACAGCTTCTATTTCATTCCTTTCAAGAAAGCACAGCCTCTAAAAGGATTACTTGATTTATCTGTATACTTAAATTGCTCTGAAGCTGCTGAATATGTTTATGTAACTTTATAATGTCCAGACTTAACTCAGTCAATGAGACATTACAGTGCTTTGTCATATTATAACAAGCATGATTATTTGAAAACACCCCAACAATTATAGATGAAGGGCATCCATATAGCTATAACCTATGCTTTAAAAAAATGAAAAAAAAAGTGAATTTAGGATGGATTTTGGTTTTATAAACTTTTGTGAGCATTTTTGTTTTGCTTTACAGACAAGTTTATTTGGAAGATCTTTAAATAATAATATAAACATGTTGCCAAGTTCTGTTTTCAAATATGTTGCAGTTGACATTTAAGAGGAAATATTTTTACTGCATTGTGTAGTAAAATTAGACATCATACAAGTGTCAGGAAGTTCTTGGCAGGTGTAACACACTCTGATTTAACTGTCTGGACTAACTTTCCTGTGTGCAGACCATCCAGTGGAATAAGTGAAACTTCGATCTCTGAAACTGAAAACAAAAACCAGGAGAATGTCACCCATGGAGGGTACGTGGAAAGTACCACCCTGCAGATTCGGCCAGCCACGAAGAGCCAGTCCAGAGAGTTCTACGTTGTCCCGGTCAAGAGCGGAGCTCCCCAGGCTGAGGAGCAAGCGAGTGGCGCTGGTTTTTCTGGGCGCACAAAAGAAGAAGCAGGCCTGGCCTCTCACACGTCTGACTCTGAAAGCGGACGCTGTCCAGAGGAGATTATCTTCAGTGAGAAGGCAGACGCAGGGCGGCCAGGCACTGTGGTTGAGCTCCAACTGTCCCTGTCACAAGAGAGATGCAAGGGCGCGCGAGCCGCGGTCGTGGCTCTCCTGGGGGCAGAAAAATCTAAGTCTCCTGACCCAGAGCCTGATTTACAACACGACGGGCTTGTCCACATAAAGTCTGCCCCCACTAGTGAGAAAGAGGACCCTCCTCTGAGGTCCAGCAAGATAATCCAGATCTCCAGTGGCCAGGAGCTGAGCCTGACCCAGGGAAGTGAAGCGGCCGCCCCGGGGCTGCCCCGCCTGGAGGTGATCTTGGACTGCTCTGACAGGCAGAAGACGGAAGGGTGCAGGCTTCAGGCAGCAGAGGGGTGTGTGGCTCCTCCAGTGGAAGGAGGGCCGTCAGAAGCACCTCCTTCTCTGGTATCCTTTGCAGTCTCATCAGAAGGCACAGGGCAGGGAGAAGATCCACGCTCAGAAAGGGATCACAGCAGACCTCACAAGCACAGAGCGCGCCACGCACGTAAGTCCTGCGCTGGGAGCCACTGCTGGGCGGCTGGAAGGGGCTTGGGAGTTAGGGCGTTTTGCTGCTGGTTCGCCTGCCTGGATTTTCTCTTTTTAAGGTTTTTCTTATGTCTCTCATTGGCTTTTTTTTTTTTTTTTTTAACTAATGCACAAAATAACAAACATGAAATTGTAGAAAACACCAATTTCTGAACTGGAAGTAATAAGTTTTAACTTCGTAGTAGATTTGAATGTTTTTAATGCATTTTCTTTTATTCCCAAAGACATGGGGACTGTTAAAGAAAATACTAAGTTAATGTGCCTTTTTTGATTTGTCTCATATTCCATTTTAAAATACCATTTGAGAGTCTTTGCAGTCATGTGGAAGCTGAGTTTAAATGTCAAAAACTGTTGAGTTTACTGCGGAGAGGTGTCTTTAAAATACAGGCTTAACCACTGATATTAAAAGCAGATCCTCATTTTGAAAAAAAAATCATTGTGCAGCATGATGATGCTTGCAGAAGTGAGTTTGATGGACAAGGACATGTGGAATACTGAGCAGTTACATGATCCTCTCCGTTTTGTTAAGTCTTCACTAGACTGCAAAGCATCTCATCTACCTTCTAGACACAGAAGTCAATCCCCAAGGCCATGTGAAGCCATTTAAATGTCTCCCAACTCAAGATATATTTTAAAATCAAGGCCTTTTATGGTGTTTTGTTTTACCCAGGAGAGTGATTACAGAAAGGCAAATGAAGATAGGAATGGCAGTTGGGTTTTATGATATCTATAATTTTCTTTCATGTACTTTTTTAAAACAAATTTGGAATTTCATTTAGGCATTTGAGGAGGTAAAGGTTGACCGTCAAAGGCACTTGAATGTATGAGTGATACGCAACAGTAATGATCTTGGTTATTCAAAGTAGTATATTAATTCTCCTAACTACTGTTATTCCTTTTAAAGCATATTTTTAGCATAACCATGTGTAGCTGAATTGACAAGTGCTGTTAATCATTCCTTATACTTTAAGCATCTGTATGCATCTTCACATTTATAGCATATTAAACAAGTGTATTAAGGCAGCACTCACATACTTTACATGTTGGCAGTGAAGTTAGCAACAACTGTGCAACTGTGACTGTCAATTTAATAGTAAGTTGTATAACACTAGTCAAAAAAGGAATTACATTTAGGAATGACCATGCTTTTAACTGTTTTCTCTAAGTAAAATTTGATTACCAGTGAATATCTGTAATTTTGTTATAAAACTATTTTGATTCCATTTTATTTTTAAAAAGTTAACCATTAAGTCTGATTTTTTCCCCCTAGTCACAAACAGAGCTAATTTTCAATTAAAAAAATTTTTTTTAAATGTCTGAAATTTTTATTTAACTCTTTTGAGGAATTCAAAAATTATTTGTGAATCATTCTTATTTTTATCATTGATAGTGCTATAAGTTAACTTGCCACAAATTTATTTTTTATAACAATAATAATATTAAAATTTTAAATATAAATTTTTGCTATTCTAAAACTGTCAGGTTCTTATTTTACATGACTTAATTTCTGTATCATTTCTACCTACAGCTGTAAAGGTTACTAGTAATATAATTTAAAATTTCCCCAAGATTTACACTTATTATTGCTGCAACTAAAGTAGTATTATATTTCCAAGAGAGCAATGCATTTATAAACAACTTTATCTAGACAACTTTGTAGCTAAAGTTTCTTAAATATAATCACAATAACTTTATACTCTGAATTATTGTTAATTATTGATTCAGTACCTTCAATTATTATTCATTACATTTTTGAATTTATTTTGATTTAGTAGCTGTGAATGCAAAGACTTTGGGGGAATGACAAACTAAAAAAAAAAAAAAGAAAACCTAAATATTTTAACTCATTATGTTAAAAGATTTAAGTAAACAATATTTTCTTATTTCTCCCTCCCTCCTTTTTAAAATGCTTGGAAATGTTTTATATCAACATTTTATTTTTAAAATATGAAAATGCAAGGTAGGTCCTAAGTTGTTTTTGGAAAATATTATGTCCTTAAATTATTTCCATTGTAATTTTAATTATATCCAATTAACTGACATTTATTTTCCAGTGTTTATTGTTAAAGTTTAAGGAGCTATACAGAAACAAGTTATGAGACATATTCTAATCAACATAAAAATGAATTTGTAGAAAAAAATGAAGTGACATATATATGCAAGTTATATCTATATTATATCATCATATATATCAATATAGAAAAGTATACATTTTGAAAGAAGTATACATTTTGAAAGAAGTATACATTGAAGTATACTTCAAAAGTATACATTTTGAAAGAAGAAAGAGAAATGAGTTGGTTTGCATCACAATTTAGTACCCAATTGTAAACATGTTTTTTCTGTATTTAGTTTCCCCCAGGAGAGTTGATTTCTGGGTTGCTATGCAGTCTTCCTTGAACTCATCAACTCAATGTAATCTTTGTATTTTCCCTAGGGCTCAGGAGGAGTGAAAGCTTATCAGAAAAGCAGGTGAAAGAAGCAAAATCTAAATGCAAAAGCATTGCCCTCCTTCTGACAGATGCCCCCAACCCCAACTCCAAGGGGGTGTTGATGTTTAAGAAGCGTCGTCGGAGGGCCAGGAAATACACCCTAGTCAGCTACGGGACTGGTGAGCTTGAGCGAGAGGCAGAGGAGGAGGAGGAAGACGGCGACAGGGAGGATCCATGTGAAGTAGCATTTCTGGGCGCGAGCGAATCGGAGGTGGATGAAGAGTTGTTGTCTGACACTGACGACAACACACAAGTCGTGAACTTTGACTGGGATTCTGGTCTAGTGGACATTGAAAAGAAACTGAGCAGAGGGGACAGGATGGAGATGTTGCCAGACACCACCGGCAAGGGGGCCCTCATGTTCGCCAAGAGGAGGGAGAGAATGGATCAGATCACAGCCCAGAAAGAGGAGGAGAGGGTGGCTGGAGGGCCAAGCAGAGAAGCAGATGCCGCCCAGACAGATGGCCTGAGGACCGTGACGTCTTACCAAAGGAAGGAAGAAGCGTCGGTGAGAGCGCAGAGCTCTGTGAGCAGAAGCTACATTGAGGTGAGCCATGGTCTCGGCCACGTGCCCCAACAGAATGGCTTCACTGGGGTGTCTGAGACAGCAGAGGCGCAGAGGATGATGCCCGTGAACAGAACAGCCAAGCCCTTCCCGGGGTCTGGGAACCAGCCGGCCACTCCCTTCTCTCCCAGCCGAAACGTGACAAGCCCCATCGCTGACTTTCCTGCGCCTCCACCGTACTCTGCAGTCACGCCCCCACCCGAAACCTTCTCCAGAGCAGTGTCGAGTCCAACCGCTGGCCCAGCGCCGCCCCCTCCGTGGCCCCAGCCTGCCCCGTGGTCCCAGCCGGCCTTTTACGATTCGTCTGAACGAATAGCTTCCCGGGATGAGAGGATTGCGGTGCCAGCAAAGAGAACGGGGATACTGCAGGAGGCCAAAAGGAGAAGCACGACAAAACCCATGTTCACGTTTAAAGAGCCCAAAGTCAGCCCCAACCCTGAACTCTTGTCACTTCTTCAAAATTCTGAGGGCAAAAAGGGCCCTGGTGCGGGAGCAGACTCCGGACCTGAAGAAGACTACCTCAGTTTAGGAGCAGAGGCTTGTAACTTCATGCAAGGCTCCTCTGCAAAACAGAAGACCCCGCCTCCTGTTGCTCCAAAGCCTGCTGTCAAGTCCTCATCCTCCCAACCAGTAACTCCGGTTTCTCCCGTCTGGTCGCCAGGAGTGGCTCCAACGCAACCTCCTGCCTTCCCCACATCCAACCCGTCACGTGGCACCGTGGTCTCCTCCATCAAAATCGCGCAGCCTTCCTACGCTCCCGCCCGGCCTGCGAGTGCTCTGAACCTGGCTGGTCCTTTCAAAGGCCCACAGGCCGCGGTAGCCAGCCGGAACTACACTCCCAAACCAGCAGCTCCCACCCCGACAGCGAACACTGCTCGTGCCGGCGCGGCGGGACCATCCAATGAGCTTCCAGGCATGAGTGGGAAAGGAGCCCAGCTCTTTGCTAAGAGGCAGTCAAGGATGGAGAAGTATGTGGTCGATTCGGACACCGTGCAGGCCCACGCTGCCCGGGCTCAGTCTCCCACCCCGTCGCTCCCGGCCGGTTGGAAGTACTCCTCCAATGTCCGAGCGCCTCCGCCTGTGGCCTACAATCCTATCCACTCCCCCTCCTACCCACCGGCTGCTGTCAAGTCTCAGCCATCAGGCCTCCAGGCCTCCAAGACAGGCAAGAAAAAGGGCAAGAAACCCCTCAATGCGTTGGATGTCATGAAGCACCAGCCCTATCAGCTTAATGCATCCTTGTTTACTTTCCAACCTCCAGATGCGAAGGACGGCCTCCCCGCCAAGCCGTCGGTGAAGGTCAGTTCAGTGCCAGCTGCGAAGCAAGCTCTTCCTCCTCGGCCCGTGACCGTCGGCTCGCCCACTGATGTGCAAGCCTCTTCTGTGTACTCCATGCCCGCCTATACCTCTCCGCCCTCCTTCTTTGCTGAGGCCACCTCGCCAGCCAGCGCTTCCCCAGTGCCCGTGGCCGTCCCCACCTCTCCAAAGCAGGAATCAGCCTCAACATCTTACTTTGTGGCACCAAGGCCAAAGTTCTCAGCAAAGAAGAGCGGTGTCACAGTTCAGGTGTGGAAACCATCTGTGGTGGAAGAGTAATCTTGTAGCCGAAGCTGAGTGTCCACTTTGCTTGAAACGAATTGTTTGCGGTGTTAACTTGAGTCCCCGAGAATGCCTAGCAAGTCCTCAACTTACTTAATTTCAGATGTCACCTCCCAATCTGGGTCCAAGAAGCAGAATATTTTTAATGAGTCAGAAATCTAACTCAGATTGACTTAAAATATATTTAACTTCTTTGCACACTGAAAAAATATCTGGGAGCACCCCCAAATAGACATGGGCCATTGTATTAAGTAAGCAGGATACTTAGGGTATATGCATTTAGCCACAAGACAGTGATCAGTGTTCTCAACATTAGGACACAGTCTTTATGTGACAGAACAGCTGTGTTCCTACACTGACAAGGTTCGATTGTAGTGAAAATATAACATGTATTGACTGACATTTCCTTTCTAAGTAGTGCTTTATCTCTATTACTAGTATTAAGGGATAAGAAATTTATTGAGGACAGGGATCAGCTCTGGTCTGTCAACCTCAGCCACCTGTTTGATGTCACAGAGAATTTGGGGATTGTTGGAATGTACATAGTTTAGTAAGGTGGATAATAAAGAGGGGATTGATAATTATGGAGTACTTATTATCTACCAGGCTCCTTGCCAGATGTTTTATATATATTAGCTCGTTTCAAAGACTTCTTTAAAGTAAACTAGATGGGCAAGAAGGATAATTATTCTTAGAGGTTGATTCCCATCCTCCCTCCCCAATTACTTAAGAAACTAAGTGAGTACATCTCCAATTGCCCATGAAAGCATAAGTTTGTTTTCCTCAGCTGAGGCAAGCGGTAGAGTACATTGTAAAGGAGGAACATATAAAAAGGTGAGTAGGCTGCAGATAAAGGCACATGTGTGACCATTGTTTTCCTTTTGGAAATCATGTGATTGGGAGATTGCTGACTCTGGATTACCGAAGGGTTACTGACTCTGGGGGCTGACTATGAAGCACAAGGAACCCATGTGTGTGGAGGCCGTACGGTGAGAACACACAGTTATTAGCATCATTTCTGAGTGACCTCACGGGTTTTTTTCTTCTCTTTATTTTTTCTTTCTGACCACTGCTTCTCCCACTGTTCCTTGCAATTCTATTCTTGCACCTTCATTTTATTATTTATATTTGATGGACCAGGAGGATTAAGGCAAGGTTACCTTGTAAATTTGGATTGGTCACACACCATGTCATCATCCAGCTGGCTCTGAAGTCAATAATGTTACTGACAGTAAACCTGAAGACCTTTCTCATATCTATTTTAAGTCCAAGTCTGACCAACCATGGAAACTATTCAACATGAATTAATGTAGAGAACCACAAAGCATTTTTGACAACTCCAAGGAAAACGATCTTCTCAATAGAGGAGATATGTCTAGAGACTTCTTATAAAAGCTTGCCTGGTGTGAGGGTACATGGCACCATGTTAATCCTCTGAAAATATCTGTATTCCTGTTCTTTTTCTGCTGTCACTGTCAATCTGCTATATTTTCACTATCCTATTAAAATATTACTATCTTCTTTATCTGTTCAATGTATTTTTAAAAAAAGTTCCTGTATGAGCTGTTCTAAGTCATTTTTCCTGATATTTCACTTATATCACTCTCCGAATATCTGAGTTTCTTTTTCGTGAACATTTCTACTTCTCTGTACATTGCAAAACTGCAAGCCATAGGTATTTCTATGATATAACACAGAGGAGAATTAAGTTAGCTACAGAACAATGGGGCTTATTCTTTGCTTTTTCTCTGGAAAATCTTCTATTGGTTTTGATGGCAATTTACCTAGAGATTAGAACCACAGGATGTAGCTTGGTCTCTTATTTGCCTTTTTGGGAAATCAATTAGGAAGATTCATACAGGATAAAGGAAAAAGCAGTCTATCCATGATATAATACTATTGTTTGTACTACTTGTTCCCTGCAAAGGAAGTCTGTTGAATGCTGTGCATTTTGCATTCTTTTCTAATAGAACACCCAAAAAAGGCATCTTAAGGTGAAGCAGGAAAGGAGATCATTTTTATAACTTTGCATTCTTAACATAGCATTTAAAGAACGGCATGAAATAGGGAGAAGACAGTGGAACAGAAGGTGGTCAATTTGAGTCCTCTGGTTCACAAGGACCATGAATGGTCATGGTCATGGTCATGGTCATGGTCATGGTCCACGAGTATCCCTAGTGGTCCATGGTTGGTGGTATGTAGGAATGGGGAGTGTTTGGGGTCTGTTTCCTGCAGGGCAGGTGGACATCTAAGCAGAGCCACTATTTGGAGTTGATGACTAAAGACACAACTAACATGGGTGGGACTGTCATGGGGCTCCCAAAAAGCTTCTATGAAGCATGGCAGGTATGCAGTCAAAGCATCCACAACTTCGACTGGGAGCTGGTGACATAGCTCTCATCTGGAACCATACAGTCCCAAATTATGGAAAAGGCAGAGAATCTTCCAGAATTCTGTCCACAGCAGAGTCTAACTTCATCTGAGAGATGAGGGCATGGAAGGAAGAAAGACTAAGCCAGCTCCCTGGAGAGGAAGAGATTTCTTTGTCTCTTTTCCCCAGTCAGGGAGCCCCTGGGAACTTGCATACAGAATAAGCTGGGTGTATCACCTCTCAGGCTGGAGCTCTGGAAATGATGTCAGTGTGGCAGGTGGGAAACTTAGGACTCATGACCTCAGTTTCCTTCCCACTGGACACCCTTTGAATTCTGGGTGTTGTTAGCAGATGTTTCAGTTGGTTAGTTGACTGGTTTGAGGGTATGAGGCAGCAGTTTTTGTTTGGTTTTTAGGATCTTGCCTTTATTCTTGTCCTTTGTTAGCTTAATTTCTGTGCAGAACACCTACGAAGTCAAGTTTTCATCACCAACACAATGGCAACGTTCATTACTGAGTGCTTGTGTTATGTTAGGCACCTTATGTACATTATATGGTTTACAGGCACTGGAATATAAAATAAAATGTAACGACAGTCACTGACTTCCTACAAGACCTTATGCAAATTTCTTTCTACCAGTGTCCACTTAATAATGCCTCAAACCTTTCTTCCTGGAATGTTGTACCATACTGAGTACAGCACACAAGACCAGATATTCTATGAAGAAAGGTGCTTTGTAAATTTAAGTACACATATTCCTCTCAGTCCTATAGGAGGGCAGATTGAATCACAGGACTCTTAAGATTGGGGATCTGACCATTGCCACTTTGATCTTAGAACAGTTACAGTTTTATTTCTAATATTTCAATAATAAACACATTCTTCTTTGAGAGAAGAAAATCACACTGTTTCTGCATTTTGAATATTCATTGATAGTGTAAAGCATACATTTTTAGGAATATGTTTTATAAGACACATTGGGGCTGTCATTTTGAAGCATGTAAAAGTTTGTCTAGTATGATTTTTAATGATAACATGTATCTCATTTAATCTTCACAAGAAGCAACTCATCTTAACAATAGGAAAATTGATCTGAGTTACAGTAGTTCTTGAGACTAAGCCAGGGTTCTTTAGCTCTTCTAGATAGTGCTGACTGCTTTCAGAAAGTGGGTTTCTTACGGCTACTGAATATTGTCACACAGCTGAATTCTAGCCTGGCAGTAAGAGTCACATCTGAGTTGTCAAGAACAAATGATCTGTGTTTAAAGGGAATGGACTGACTTATGTGGGACCACTGTTTTGTTTAGTTACTAGCTTAAAAAAAACTTTGAAGGCCTTTTTCTGCTGACAGGCATATCATACACTTTGACTGCAGCACTTTCACAGAAGTCTCTTGAGAACACAAGAAGACACATAGCTATTAGTGTCTGAGATTGGATTTAATGTTCCAAACAAAAGTCCCTTGCTGTGTATCATTTAATTCAGTTATAAATTCGAGAACCTGCAAGCACCCGTATCCTACGGGTGAATTCCTGAAATCTATTGCTATTTTATGAGTCACCACTGGCCGAGCAGGAAGAGTATTTGAAGTCATGGTCATCAAAAAGAAGTGATTGTTTTCTAAAAAGTGAAATGCTTAAAATGCTTCCAGAGGGAAGCAGTGGGCTGTGTTCCCATTCCCTCTTATAATCAGAGTTGTTGAGTTTGTTTTAAAAATTGTTAAAAGTTCATGAGAAAAATATGTAAATTCTGAGAACTAATATCATTCCCAGAAGCACTGACCCTTGCTGGTCTCAAGTCCCCTTGTCACTGGACTCTGGGGGACATAAAGACTCATGTAACACTTTTGTGCCACTGAGTTTGTCAACAAGTATTCTGGGAAAAAGCAGAATTGGATTCTTCTGTAGACTTCCCACCAGGATTGGCCAAAGGCCATAAAACAAGCTAGTAAATTCCCACAGGACCCAAACACCAGGCAAAATTGCTGAAAGAGGCTAGTCTGAGTTAGAAAGAAAAAGGAAAAAATTACAGACCATCCTGTGGGATATCAGGCCAATAACAGCCAAAAGCCCCCAAGTCAGTTTATCTTTTCCTTGATGTTATCAGGTAGGGCTAGTTTCTTAAATTAAAAAAAAAAAAGAATGTTTCCATGGTATGTATATTTTTATACTGAATTACCATTTGGCACTTGGAAATCATAGACCTTACTACTCAGAAGCAACTGAATGAAGAGAAATTTAATTTATAAATATCAAATCCTGTGAGATATTTCTCAGATTCCTGATTTTATCAGAGCTATGCCAGCTAATAAAGTATTTCTTAAGTATAGAAAGTTAGACCTCTACAGGATCCTATAGTTTAAATAGTTGTTATTGATATACAGAATTTCATAAGTATTCATTTTTTGGTTCTAAATGTAAAGTTCCTCATGTTTACCTCTGTATATACCTCATTCTTGACATGTTTATCTAAATTATGTGTGCTTTATGACATGAAATGCCTTCAGGGTCCCTAATAAAAGTGATTATGAGGACCTACTTTCCAGCCTACACTTCCTCCTCTGTGCTGGGCTTAGTCGCTCAGTCTTGTCTGATTCTTTGCAGCCCCAGGGACTACAGCCTGCCAGGCTTCTCTGTCCACAGGGATTCTTCAGGCAAGAACACTGGAGTGGGTTGCCATGCCCTTCTCCAGGGGATCTTCCCAACCCAGGGATCAAACTCAGGTTTTCCACATGCCAGGCAGATTCTTTACAGTCTGAGCTACCAGGGAAGCCCCTTCTTCTTCAACCTGGCAATAGTAATAATAATATTTAAAATAATAACACTCCCATATACACTGGAGGAATCCTGTCTTCATAGCCCCTGCTTCTTAAGCTTCTTGAGAACTATTATTAGTTGTTCATGGAATATAAACACAGATCACAATTAGCTTTAAGTTGAAAAGAAATGCACATTTTGGGAATAAAGAAAATTTTTCTCCTTGGAAATAAATATCAAAAAAACAATAAGCATTTTAAATTGTTCTTCAAGAGACACTTTAGAAGTCAGAGAGAGTCTTTGATATTTTTAGTTAGTGGAATAATCTGTTCTCAAGACCATACAAAGACCCTGAGTCAATAATACAGTTCAAGTACAGATGACATGGGTGGGGATGGAAGCTGTAACAGTCATTCACACCATCTCATAAGATCTAAGGAAAAGATAGGGTGAGGGGTTGATGTATTAAGTTTCTACTAAAAGCCAGGAATGGTGTTAAGTATTTTATGTAAATCATAATGTCTAACATTAACTGAGCACAAGTGGGCCCCGAGTTGTGCCAAGTGTCTTCATAGATTCTCTCTTTTTTAAAAAAAAATGGAGATATAATTGACATATAACATTATAGTAATGTTAGTTTCAGGTGTACAATATAATAATTTGATAATAGTATATATTGCAAATTGATCATCACAGTCAAGCCCAGGTATAACATCCATCATCACGCATAGTTACAAATTTCTTTTTCTTATGAAAAGAACTTTTAAAATCTACTCTCTTAGCAACTTTCAAATATACAATACAGTATTCTTAACTATGGACTTCCCTGGTGGCTCAGATGGTAAAGAATATACCTGCAATGTGGCAGATCCAGGTTTGATCCCTGGGTCAGGAAGACACCCTGGAAAAGGGAATGCTTACCCACTCCAGTATTCTTACGTGGAGAATTCCATGGATAGAGGAGCCTGGCAGGCTACAGTCCATGTGGCCACAGTGAGTCAGACATGACAGCAACTAACCTTTTCACTTTTTTTTTCATTGTTAATTGTAGTCATCACGCTGCACAATATCCCCAGGACTTATTTATTTTACAGCTGGTAGTTTGTACCTTTAACCACCCTTCACCCATTTTGCCTGCTCACACCTCCTCCCCTCTGTTAACCACCACAGATTATCTTTTATCATCAGCAGTCCTTCTGAGACAGGTCTCACCATAATCCTCAGTTTATAGATTACAGATGGGATTCTGAGGCACAAACAGGCTGAATATCTTGCCCAAGATCACACAGTGTTAAGTAGTGGACCCTGGATTTCATGTTGACCTACACCCTTAACCAATAACACTGTGATTTAATTTACTCTTCAGAATTACCCTGAAAGTGAAGGCACTATTATTTCCATTTCATAGGTGAGGTATCTGAAGCTCAGAGAGGCTAACCAACTTGTCTGGCAATCATTAAGCTTACAAGTAGTGGGCTAGGGTTGAAACTACATACTTATCTGACATCCAAGCCCAGGCTCTCACTTCAGTACGACATGGTTTCCATAGTCTCATTAGACCCCAGAATCCCACCCTCTGAGACCTGTTAATTGTATCTTCACCAAACTATCCACCAAGAGCCTACTCTGTATATGCTTAATGGATAGCTTTTACTATGTTGAGTGACATTAGAAAGTACCCCACTGCTTTCATAAGATTGCTTATAAAATCAGATGCTATAATAATATGTTGGGAGTGAAAACCAGTCTAAAAAAGAAGCCTCTGTTTTATAAGTGGAAATAGATTTGATAGTGATTTTGTAATTTTGAATTCCCAAAATTCTTTCATTTTCTTTCAGGATGAAAAGGTGATATTCATGGGCTGAGGGTAGTGAGGAATGTCATTAAAAAAAAAAAATCAAAGGCTCTACATAAAAGGAAGTGCTACCCTTGGCTTCATGCCTTTCCCACTAAAAGTAATTCAGGGAACTTTCTTTTTCTTTTTTTTTCCAGGGAACTTTCTTATCATAATGAATCAGCACCCAGCTTGGCTTGCTACTAAACCAATAAGAACTTGAGATGTTTCAACAAGGATCATTCTAAGCAGGATAATGTTGACAGAGTCACAAGTTTTCAGTGTTTCAAATATATCTAAAAATGTAGTCGTCACTGGAATCTTGGAGTTGCATGAAGTCTTTTGGCTGAACTCCCATGCCTTCACCCTGGGTATGGATGAGGCAGCAAACCTTTCTTGCCGCAACATCCTCAATGGAAGTTTTCTCAAAAGGTTATTTCTGTAAAAAGTTCCCAGAAAGGGCAGTTTTATACCTTATATTTTTCTAGTAGTTCTTTGGTTTTTTAGCTTTGGGTTTTTGTTTGTTTGTCTTTGTTTTAAACTATGTCTCATTGTCATTTTGGAAACATCTCCTAAAGAACTAGTGTAACTTTCAAGGAGAAAAGATATGAACTTCTAAGTTAATCATAAAAAAAAAACAAAAACAAAAAAACCTTCATATATTTTGGAGAGTTTCACTGCCTTAATTTAAAATTGTAGAGCCATTAATAAGGTGATAATTTTGAGGGCTTACTATATGCTAGGTGCCATTCTAAATACTTAACAAATGTTAGCTTTCTCAGTCATCACAAAATGACTAGCATATGAAGAAAGTACCATTACCATGCTATTTTACAGATGAGAAAATACAGTAAAGATAAGGAACTTGTCTAAGTGATGGGGCTGACTCAAGACCCAACAGACTCCAGAGCGCTTCCCCTGACAAATCACATGGTGATGTTACTGCCTTTGATCACAAAAAGGCAAAGGTCACTATATATAAAAGAAGTTGCCCATCAGAAGCAATAAGCTACACCTATCTCAGGAATAACTCAAAATCTTCTAAATCAAAGAAATGTTGAAAAAGCTTCATAGAGTTTGGTAGCCCTAAATGATAGACACTTTTGAACAGGTACAAGGGGAAAACTATGGTTTTTATTTCCATCAGCCTGTTTGCTTATAACTCAAAAACACTGGGGGAAGCTTAATATTTTGCTTGTTACCATTGATCAGTTCAGTTCAGTTCAGTTGCTCAATCATGTCTGACTCTTCACGACCCCATGAACTGCAGCATGCCAGGCCTCCCTGTCGATCACCAAGCCTGGAGTTTACTCAAACTCATGTCCATTGAGTTGGTGAGGCCCTCCAACCATCTCATCCTCTGTCCCCTTCTCCTCCTGCCCTCAATCTTTCCCAGCCTCAGGGTCTTTTCAAATGAGTCAGCTCTTCGCATCAGGTGGCCAAACTATTGGAGTTTCAGCTTCAACATCAGTACTTCCAATGAATATTCAGGGATGATTTCCTTTAGGATTCACTGGTTGGATCTCTTTGCAGGCCTAGGGACTCTCAAGAGTCTTCTCCAACATCACAGTTCAAAAGCATCAATTCTTCAGTGCTCAGCTTTCTTTATAGTCCAACTCTCACATCCATACATGACTACTGGAAAAACCATAGCCTTGACTAGACCAACCTTTGCTGACAAAGTAATGTCCCTGCTTTTTTAATATGCTTGTCTAGGTTGGTCATAACTTTCCTTCCAAGGAGTAAGTTTCTTTTAATTTCNGTGTGAGATGAGTGCAATTGTGCAGTAGTTTGAGCATTCTTTGGCATTGCCTTTCTTTGGGATTGGAATGAAAACTGACCTTTTCCAGTCCTGTGGCCACTGCTGAGTTTTCCAAATTAGCTGACAAATTGAGTGCAGCACCTTCACAGCATCATCGTTCAGGATTTGAAATAGCTCAACTGGAGATCCATCACCTCCACTAGCTTTGTTTGTAGTGATGCTTCCTAAGGCCCACATGACTTCACATTCCAGGATGTCTGGCTCTAGGTGAGTGAACACACCATTGTGATTATCTGCGTTTTGAAGATCTTTTTTGTGTAATTCTTCTGTGTATTCTTGCCACCTCTTCTTAATATCTTCTGCTTCTGTTAGGTCCATACCATTTCTGTCCTTTATTGATCCTATATTTGCATGAAATGTTCTGTGGTATCTCTAATTTTCTTGAAGAGGTCTCTAGTCGTTCCCATTCTATTGTTTTCCTCTATTTCTTTGCATTGATTTCTGAGGAAGTCTTTCTTATCTCTCCTTGCTATTCTTTTGAACTCTGCATTCAAATGGGTATATCTTTCCTTTTCTCCTTTGCTTTTTGCTTCCATTCTTTTCACAGCTATTTGTAAGGCCTCCTCAGACAGCCATTTTGTGTTTTTGCATTTCTTTTT